TCAGACTTTCATAACGGGATAAAAGTTTTAATAATGCTATTTTATCACGCTACTATCTGTGATAAAATTATTTTTTTTTGTATTTAAAACGAAATAAATTTCTTTATTTAACTACTATGTCAGTATTTATTGTATTTTTATCATATGTTTATTCTATTTTGTTTCCTAGCACGATTGAAATTCAATTTATTTTTAATGTATTAAACAAGGTATAGAATTAGTTATTTACATATTTTTTAAAATATAATATATTTATTATTCATATTTATTAATACAAAAATATAATATTAATTTTAATTAATTAAAGTTCGAGTATAAATCTTAATATACGGTAAAAACTCGATTATCCGAAACTTTTTAACCGTCATAGTATTAAATTCAGTTTGAGAAGTCAGAGTTACTATAATTTTTTTTTAAACTTTTGGCTATTGATATAATGATGTACGGCACATATTGCACTTTATTTTAATGAATTTTACTGTATCCAACCCTCTATTTCAGCACTGTACAGTAAATAAACTTGGTCGACTATACTGTACTGTACGTATAAGATTGTGTATTAATTGTGGCTTGTAAATAAATTTTATGTGCTGGTAGGAGGAATTCTATTATCCGTCTATTCTTATCACGCTCCCGATTCCTGACAGATAATAGAGTATTACTCTATATCTATTCCACATAAAATTGAATAAAATGAAGAAATGATAATATTTAGAATTGAATAATTATTCTAAAAATTTGAAAAGTTTTACATGTTTCTTTGTTATGCCCATAAGACATAATTTATTCCCTATTATAATATAAATTGTGTTTTATTGATTTATTTCTGAAAATTCAGTTCAACGATAATTTAAACTTTAAAAAAGAATTGCGTTTCTCCTTGTATATAATTCGGAATCACTCGTTTAGTTCCGTGAATTATATTTATTAGTTTTTAAAAATTAAAATGGCCATTCGAATCAAAAAATATATATTCTAATTGATCATTTCTTTTCAGTGAAAAAAGGTTTATATTTAAATATTTTATTATCGTTTACGATAAAATTTCCGAAAATTAGGATATATTTGTTATTTGTATTTAAATATTTTGAATAATTAATATTTAGCGTGATTATTTGTCATTTGGTGTACTTTTCTACCTGCATTAAACTGTTTCCTACTACATCGATAACCTAATTTATTTGTAAAGCATAATTATGATTATAGAATTCTTGATTATATTTTTATACCATTACTTATCTGAAAGTTTATTTAATTTAAAATATATGCTCTCGATCTCAAATTAGTTATGTCTTGCCCCTGTAAATCATACTTTTCCTCATAACAACTGAGTCATGCAGGTCATCTATGTAACTCCTTTCTGGGGAAATTTTTTAATTAAAATCACGTGATTTCTGGTCCAGACCGGAAGTTTGGATATAGTTAATCTGGGCCATATGCCCCTAAGCTTTCCATATCCTATCTTGACTTTCATCTAATCTTATAGGTATATTATTTTTTCAAATAGTCATCAAATTAAACTTTTAATAATTGTATATAAAACATTAAAAATAAAATTATTTTGTGTCAAATAGGCGTATTTATATACAATATATAATTAGTAAAAATAACATAAATATAATTTAAGTTTGTTTTTTGAGAATTATTGAATGAAAGAAGAATAAAAAAATTCATAAAATCATAAAATTTTTAGCATTATTTACTAAAATTTATCAACCTTTTATTTAATAGATTATTTAATAGAATATAAAGAATTTAAAATTATGCAAATTATTTAATTAGTAATTCATAACTTCGAAATTATTACATAAACGAAACTATCGATTTAAAATTTGTATTTAACTTGTAAGCTTATAAGTTACAATTATCTTGTAAACAATATATATATATATATATACAAAAGAATTCTATCCGAATGCCACGAGTAATTAAAGTAAATAAAGGAATTTATAATTAAATATATCGGTTTTTCTTAAAGTAAATAATGCAGAATAAATTTTGCAATAGTGCGTGATCTTTCGACATAGCAACAAAACTCGTACTAGAATTTATTAAAATTTACAATTCTTTATATTTATGAAAAAAACTTAAATTATTTTAAAAATTCTGTAAATAATTTTATATTTATGAATATGGTATATATCCTAACAACGTTATATTTTCACACTATGTATTTTTTATAGCACTTAACATTCATAATTCGACAAAAATTATATAAAAAATGATTCATTTGATATCAGATTAGTTTTCTTGTATTGTTTTTATCATTCATTATATTTAATGCCTAATATTTTAAAAATTATATCAAAAAAGAATTTTCGAATCTAATTTTATAAAAAAATGGCGTTAATGGTAATGATACTGACGGAATGTTGATAATTATTTCTTGTTATAGATAAACAAAGTTTCTATAGGAACCTGAATGATAACACGGAAGTTCTAATTAAACTCTAAGTAAAACATGCGAAAATAATGTTATTGTATTTTGTCAGCAGACAGATATTTCCATTATTTACATATTGTGATATATATATATTCAATGTTGAAGAAAAAAAGAAGTGTATATTCAGCTATAACCTCTGTATATTCCTATATATACTTCTGTATATATCAAGGAATCTAAATCTACTATTTAAAACAATACTTTAATAAAATCAAAACACTTTCTTATGATCGAAAGACAGGTTTTTTCGAATTATTTTATAATGAACCTAATCGAGCTGGCTGTTATCCACANTATACACTATTAATATTCTTCAGTTACATAAAATAACATTTTTATTTATATATTTTCATTACATTAATTAAACTGTGTATTCAAAATTCTCTTTACATAACCAAAGGGTTTATTTTATTATGCAATCTGTTATAAGACACAAGATATAACCTAATAATTTACATTCTTCCCATTCATGTCAACACAACTGATGTAATATGTACAGGTGTACCACAATTGCATTACTTCAAGAGTCTATTTTGAATGGAGACTTTTGAATCACCCTGTATATTATCTCTCTTTAATATATTATTTGTCATGATGTCAATTTTTTTAAAATTTATTATTATGTGATTTAACAATTTGATTAATCTGTACTGCTCAAAAACTCTCCATTATTTTAAATAATCTACAGTGTATTGTATTTTAAAAATATCAATAAGTGCAAAGATTAATCAATATATTTTCTCAACACAAAACCTTTATTATTATCTTCCTAATTGATGTAAATTTTGGATAATATAAATAAGTAAAAATATTAATTTTATCCCAAAAAATCTATTTTATTTTTCTATCTTTTATATATATATATAATGGAATGCATTAAACGAAATA